GGGACCCCCAAGGACTCTCCCCACTCCCCTCCGAGCCCCCTCTCACTGGGTGCGCAGGGTGAAGGCCGCGCTGGTGATGGAGGTGGGCAGGCTCAGCCCCTTGGTGATCTCCCTCCACAGCTTCTTGTTGATGACCTCCACCAGCCCCCCCTTCTCGGTCACCAGCGTGTACAGCATGTACAGGTCCAGCACCTGCTTGGCCATGATGGGGATCCTGTTCACGGGGGTCCCTGGGGAGCGGCGGGAGGAGAGAGCTGCTCTGGGGTGCTGCTTCCTTACCCAGAGTGGGGGTGCAGCTGCTGAGACCCCCGTGGGGCAGTGGAGGGGCTGGGGGGGCTCATGCTGCTCCCTCCCCTTCCACTGTCCCCTTCTTTTTCCCCCCAGGCCCTCCCCTGAGATTAGCCCCGAAAACAAAGGAAACAGAAACTCGCAGTTTGCAGCCACAGCCCCGCTGCCGTGGCTGAGCCGGTTCCTCGGGCTGAGCCAGTACCCAGCAACACAAGTTATTTATAACGGGGGGGTGGCACAATCTGGCTCTGAGGGTCTCCTATAAGCTGGAGGGGCTCATCCCTCCAGCTTGAGGAGGGGGCTGGCATCCCTTATTGGCGTCCCCACCCTCCCAGCCCTGCAGTGGGGGACCCCAATGGATGCAGGTGTGGTGATTCCAGGGGATGGAGATTGGGGGACCCCAGGGGACACAGCCAGGGGATGGGACAGAGCCAGGGGGCCCCAGCCAGCAGCCGCAGCCCCCCTGCACAGGCACACGTGCCTTCCCAGCACTGTCTGACAAAGAGCCAGAGCCAGCCCTGTGTCAGCACTTCCAGCGCTGTTTTCCACGCAGGAACCAGACCCTCGAGCAGGATTCAGCCCTTCCCACCCCCAGCCCCCAGCCATGGCCTCTCCCCGGGCACAGAGAGGGGCTGCAATAACACAGGCAATGGGCAGAGGGGGCACACAGCCAGGGGCTGCAGGTCTGGGTGTGAAGGGAGGGGGACAAGGAGGGGCTGCAGGCTCTGGATCCAGCCCAGCAGGTTTGACCCCGCTGTGCTGGAGGGGTTAAAGATTAACCAGCAGCTCAGCCGGAGCCGTGACCTCAGGGCACTAATGAGGGGCAAGGAAATGAGCCCCTGGCCTTGGGGGGGGACATGGGGGGTGCAAGGTGGGTGTGGAGGAGCAGGGTGGGCACAGAGTGGGCAGGGGGGCACAGCGTGGGTGTGCAGCTGGGCACTCACCACGCTTCTGCATGAAGCTGAAGAGGTCATCCAGGAACTCCTTCCTCCTGGGGTCACCATCCAGCTCGTAGAGCTGCATAAAGAAGAGAGAGATGCTCAGAAACCCCCTTAACCCATGTGTCCCCCCAACCTGAGACCCCTTGGCTTCCTCTGCAGCAGCCTCAAAGGACACCAAATGGTTTGAGGGTCCCTGCAGAGGTCCAGGGGGTCCCTGCAGAGGTCCAGGGGGTTCCTGCAGCTTGGGCTGACCTTGCCAGCCCTGGTTGTAGCTCAGCTCCGGGATCACGGCTGGAGTGGCTCCCAGGCTGCCAACAGCGTGCTCAGCCCCAGCTCCTCCCAGGAACGCTGACCCCTGTTATTTTTAGCCTCCACAGCCTGCACAGCACAGCAACTCTTCAGCGTGGTCCCTCCACGCTTGGGGTGCCACAGAGAGAGAGCCATGGCCAGGAGGAGCCAGTGTGCCTCACCATGAACCTGTGTGTGCCACCACCCTGCAGGGACACGTCCTGCACTGGGGGAAGGCAGAGCTGGGCCAGGCTCTGACACGCTGCTGCACCACCTCCATCGCCGGCTCTGCTTGGGGCATCTCCATGTGGGACCCCCCACCCCGGCACATTCCTGCCCTGATTTATGGCTTTTATGGCTCAGCACCGGCCGGTTGGAGCGCCCGGCACGCCGCAGGCACACACCACACCACACCACGCCAGGCAGCCTCTCCCCAAGCCCAGCGCTGTTCCTGCCCGCAGGCTGGTGGATAATCCCCCCTCCCAACCCTCCCAAACCCGGGCAGGGTGCTGGAGCAACGGCTGTGGGGGCAGGCGTTGCCCAGACACCACCACAGCTCTGCTTTTCTCCATGACAGCTCTGAACAACTGCCAGGGGGGCCGGGAGGGGGCTATAAATAAATAAATAAATACCCCCCCAAAATAAGCCAGGCACGCACTGCAGGTCACCCGTGTGCCCACTCCCTCCATGGCATCAGGAGCATGGGCAGGTGGATGGGTGGGCATGGTCCTGCCTTGAGCCCCCTCCTCCTGCAGCCCCGCAGGGAGGATCCGGATCCTGCAGGGCCGGACTCGCCCGCCGGCGCCGATCAAAGGGATCAATGGGGCCGCATGATAAGCGGGGCCATAAACCCCCCCAGTTCCCCTGGGAAACTCGGCAGGCTCGACCAGACCCTTGCACAGCCCCAGGGCAAGGGCAGGAGCCACCAGCACCACCAGCAGAGACCCCCAAAACCCCCTCAAAGACCCTCCAAGCAAGGGGTCTGGTGTGGGAGTGTTGTGGTGGGAATGAGCCATGGCACAGCAGCAGTGCTGTGATTTTTGGGGCTGAGCTGCTTGTGCCAGCTGAGGGATGTTGGGCTGGTGCCAATCCAGCCTCCCCCGTTTCCTTGAGCAGCTCCAAGAGCCACACACAGAGAAAGGAAAGGGCTTCCCCAGCGCCCGATCCCATCCTGGGGAAGCACCGAACACTCTGGTTCATCCAAGACCCTCGGGGTCATGATCCACCCCCCTCCTGGACTCAGTCCCGAGGGGAATGGACGCGTTTAAGAGGATGAAAGAAAATTAACCGTCAGCTGAGGAGAGCGTGGCCGGCCAGGACAGGGGGATTAGTGGCTGCGGCAGGCGGCTGCCCCGAGTGCGAGCCCTGGTGGTCCCACGCCAAACTCAGCTGATTGCAGCCACTCTCCCCCCTGCCCAACTGTGATAAAGCCATGGGGGTGCCCAGGGATGGTGGGTGGAGGGATCCCTGTTCTTGCCCTGCCGGCACACCCGCCACGGCTGCCGGGCAGAGGATGTTGCACAAGCTGCTGCTGACGGTTATGGTGCCAAGCAGAGAAACAGGCTCCCCTTGGGACCCCCCAAACCCTGGTTTACCTCTGTCACTGCCAACAGAACCAACTGCCAGTGACGGGCACCTGCCCAAGGTGCTCATCTGGCAGCACTGTGGGGCGAGGACATGCCCAGCCATGGCTGGGACGTGCCTGGTGTGCACTGTGGTGTGTGACAGGGTGCGTTTGCCAAGCCCTGGTGTGCACTGTGGTGTGTGACAG